TAAAAAAAAAAAAAAAAAAAAAAAACACCCTTCTGCTTGAGATCCTAAGACACTTGTAGAAAACTATTGACTCTATTCAATCTAAACATGAACTCCTTCCTCTATGCAAGCTTGAAGTTCCTGAATGACCTCACTAAGCTTGACGTGCTCATCAGGTAGGGTTCTGAGCATGACCTGAGCAGAGTCGACAATACTTTCTAAGCTGCCGCCTTCTCCACCGCCGTCAGGCCCAAACGTCAGCTCCTCTTGGTCACTATTCTCTCGGTTCCCCATTCGAAGGCTGCGACCTATGCGGTTGAGTAGGTGCATGATGAGCTGCAGAACCATGATGAATTGCGCAGAGGACGACCCAGCGCCGTGCAAACTTTGCTGTTGCAGCTCGGTCCCTTGAACTATGGACCCCAAGGACCTCTTAATAAAGTCACAAACTGCGTGGAAGAGGGCTATAAAGCTGTGGACGGAAACAGCGCTGTCCTTTTCTGTTTGACTACTGACTCGTCTCTGGGAGCGCTATCGCTATCCGTATTGGTATTTGCACATTCTATCATTGTTAAAAATCCTGGAAACGCCGTTGCCTAACGCACCTGGGTGGAACTACACTTTTGTAGGGGGATCGTCACGAGTGAACAATGGAACTATTCAGATCCGTAAGTAAAACGAGAATGGCGTCACTATTGAGTCTTACTAACTTAGTGCAGAGTATGATCTCAAGCAGATATTGCTCACTATCTACAAACCCGGAGGGTTAACTCGGGTGCCAACACTCTTGAAGATGTCATCAACTTCACCGTCAAGCTGTGGGATCTTGAGTCTCCATAGGGCCAATGCTGTTTTCCTGTCCTAGTTGCAGCAGATCAACTGGGTGATCGGTCGACTTCTGGAGAATACTGGTTGGCCAAGAACACCCAGGCTCGCCTTTATCAAGAAGGTCCAGCTGTCCTTTTTGAGAGTACAGGCTCGATGTGCTCGTGCTGCCGACTGAAGTCTCGTCTTCGCGACTCGGTGCCGTAGGGAGACTTCCCGTTGGGTCGGTTCCTCTGGGCTATGACGATATTAATCTGCCATTCGGTATGGCTTTCGTGGGTCGACGGTATGACGAGGGATCTGTCATTCGCTCCATGTCTGCGTATGAAGCAAACTTCCCTGCTCGCAAGGTGCCACATCTGCTGGAGTAAGGTACGGCATGGAGTAGCGGGCTCAAGACGCATGGTAATAGTATTGAAGATGGTACAACATTATTGGATATCTCGGAGAGATAAATCAAGGTGTAGCAACAGTATAGCGAAGGGCAAGGGTTGAGGTTTAGAGCGAAGGACGCTGTCTCTTTATTAAGAGATAGAGATTAGGATTAAGTTCTCCAACAATCGCGTATTTACCTTCTTTGTGGTGGTGTCGATTGAGACACAAGCGGGTGCAGGGGTAATTCTGATCTTCTGACCCTTCTGTCGCAAGGTTCTTCAGCCAAATCCAGTAAACATCACTTTCCTGAGACTTGTAACCACTTAGCACTAGAATTACCCTGGACAAGACGAAATATGATGAATCGTGCATTAGAGTTTATCTAACAGGCTATGATAGCATTGACTTTTACAACTTTGAAGTGCTCTCCTCACGGCCAACAAGGTTAGGGTGGCCGTCGTTCATTGGTCGGGTGACAGCGTAGAAAGCAACACCCTCAGTCTTTGTTGAGAACTATAAATGGGTCAGCAAGTGTATACAGGTTGATTGGAGTACAGAGAACTAACCTGAGCCTTGGATCCAACATGGAAGAAGGCCCAGTCTCCAGCAACGAGGTGGTGGGTCTTGCCAGTGGCCTCATCCTGTATGTTATCAGTATCATTCGTAATACAGATTTCGAAATCGACTAGGATCTTACTGTGATGTCGATTTGACCCTTGAGAACATACTTGGTCTCCTCGTAGTCGTACTCGCCGTATCGTGTAGGTCCGGGCACAACACGGTAGAATCCAGTGGTCAGGTAAGGGGTAGAGTGTGAGCTCTGGGATTTGATTGAGTGGAAGTCGGCGATAATGGCGCATTCGCCCTCGGGGATAGGGATGTGCTCATGGCCGGCGCCCTTGATAATGGTAAGAGGAACGATCTTGTTGTTAGACACTAGAGATGTTAGCACAAGATTTTAGACGACGACTAAGTGTATCTTACTGTTGAAGCGTATAGATAAAGACTAGAGATATAGACAAGTAGGTACGAGACAAGCTGTCAGCACCTGCTTATATACCGATTGAAACGGAGCATTCTCGGCATAGATAGTGTTATCAGGCCTTGAGATACGGGGTCCGGCTCCGGGGCCGTAGCTCCGTGCTACCTCTCAAGCTTATTCAGCTGCCACTAAGCTACAAATAGGGTTAGTGTCAGCGAATTAAGGTGGACCGAGACATAACGTGATCGGAACCTCACGGCCCTTGGCCGGACATCCTGGAGGAAAACCTATCTTCCATTACCTTGTCGGTATTTTGTTATAAGATCTGAGTTCCGAATGTCTCATCTGGTTGGCTCGGCCATCAAGGGACCCTGGGGCCACGGTTGCTTCTTCCCGCCCCTCTGTGGCTACAGCCAATAAAAATGATCTTTGATACTTGTGACTTGCAGCAGTATTCACTCAAACTCAAGTATTCATGGTCAAATGGAGATGGAGGGACGGCCCCGTAAGCATCCGGGGTAGCTTCTACATCCCCGCCTTACAAGCGGTGAACAGGCTTAAGCTCGACATCGAGGCCATTATTAGGTCATAGGTGTTATTAGTAATCTCTTATTTAAATCAGCCTTCTGATTGCAACACTAAACGAGATCATAAACTCAGACCGATGGTACAGTACTTCCGGAAACTGGTGTCACCACCTACACTCTCTCTCCGCCCTAACGCCAAGAGGCGCTAGTCCACATTCAAGGTAGGCATCGGAATTGATATTCCAATATTTATGCCGTAAAAACGTACGTACCAGCGTCTCGTAAGTGTATGAGTGTTTATCACCAGTTGATGTCGCCTTACCGCATGTCAGCAGACCTGGGTCACGTGGACCCGTCCTTAAATATTGTTCAATCTCCGCACCTAACACTATCTTTAATAAAAAAAACCATCTCCTACCGAGCAATATCACACAACCTCTAACAAAGCTCCCTACTAGAACTATTATAAACTGATAGGAATCCTTTTCTTTAGCGCTATAATGCGGAATACTTTACAAATGCTACCATCCGGAGACTAGCCAATTGTAACGGATAAAGATCCTTACAAAGAGAATACCATGTCAGGCAGTCTTGGT